TATTTCTAAACAATAATAAAAGCTCCAACAGATAAAATATCAATGTTTTCAAAAGTGAGCGATTAATAAATCTAACCCCACTATTCTACCATATAATGAACCAATTTCATTATTTCCAACTCAATTCCATATAATCACAATTTTCCCAAATTAATTATACCAATTAATTTATACAGTCAATTAGGGTTTTCTACCCCATTTCCCAATATCGACCCAATGGTCTAAATATCAACAACTAACAACGATATCATTATTTTGAACCCACAATACACATTTTAGAATCAAAATAACAAAATCCTCTTTTAACAATTTTAAACCCTAAGTCCCAAAATTTCCCAACTTCAACACTTTATCAAAACAACCAAAAATCTATGTCAAAGACCATAAGAGTGAGTAGGAATCCCTACCTCAAATTCGGAGCTCAAGGAACGAAGATGAAGAAACTCAACGTGCTCCAAAACTCAATATTCTTGGATCAAAACGTAGCCCTCGACGATCAACCCAACTTTTACAAAGGCCGAAGGAAAGGGAAGCACTCTAACTAGATCAAACCCTAGAGAGAAGGGAGTTTCTAGAGAGAGAGGCTCTCGAAATATCTTTTTGGAAAGTAAGAGAGAGAGAGAGAGAATGTAAAAAGTGAATTTAAAACGCCCAGCTGCCAACTGATATACGACATTCCCGCTCGAGCAGAGAACACAACGCTCGAGCGTCAAGAACAAAAAACTAGGTCCGCTCGAGCGCAAGAAGACCCGCTCGAGTGCCAAGACACAAGAATAAAGTACATCCGCTCGAGCGCGAAAACCAGTTCGCTCGAGCATAGATTTCCCCCTCCAGAATTACACCAAAAAGTACTACCCGCTCGAGCGCCAGAGTACCCGCTCGAGCGCGATCGCTCGAGCGTAAAGAAACCCGCTCGAGCGTGAAAAACATGCTTGCAGAAGTTCTGTAGAGCACCAAAATACTGGGAGTGTGCAATCTCCGCTCGAGTGCAAGAAGACCCGCTCGAGCGGACCTCCTAAAAACTGGGCAACAAAGAATTGAAACCAAAGCCTAACTAACCTGTAACAACTCTGCCCAATACATCCTAAAACTCAATCAAGCGGAATTAAAGGATGAGAACAAGGTATACAACCACCAACATCACGGAACCCAAGTTCGGAAAACAATAAATACAGAAAGGTAAAACCGGAATCGCTATAACCTTCCCCCCTTAAAGAATTTTGTCCCCGAAATTAAATACAAGTTTATCAAAAACAAGTTTTCTCCTTTCCCAACAAAATTACGACATAATGTTAAACACTCCGACCCGTTACCGGTTAATCCCATCTCTTTTCAAGAGGCATATCACATTATACATAACAACCTGCATTATCAACATGCATTCCTTTGAAATTTGCCAATTTCAACTCATTTTCCACAATTCCATAATACATGCAACATTAACATCATGCTTGCCTTTCCACAATACATTGAACATATGCAATGTTATAACAAATTTCCATTAACCAAAACATTCACAATGTTTTACAACTTAAGACACATATAATGTTCTTAAAGTTCAACGATATTACAAAATTACCAATGCATGGTTACACATCAACAAACAAGTCCGGATATTTCTCGCGGACTACTCACGTTCGCAAGTGGCCTCCTCCACTCCATGATGTTTCCACAAGACCTTTACCAAAGGAATGGTCTTGCCACGCAGGACTTGATCCTGCCTATCTAAGACCCGAACTGGTCTCTCCTCATACGAGGCATCCTCATCTACCTCTAAGTCGGTCCAATCTAACACATCGGACGGATCCGGCTCATACTTCCGAAGCATACTCACATGAAACACGTCATGCACCCCGGACAACTGCGGTGGTAAAGCTAAATGATAAGCAACCTCCCCAATCCTCTCAAGGATCTCAAAGGGACCGATAAACCGAGGGGATAGCTTCCCACTCTTCCCAAACCTCATCAAACCTCGCCTAGGTGATATTTTCAAGAAGACATGATCACCTACCTCAAACGCTAAAGGCCTCCTCCTACGGTCGGCATAACTCTTTTAGCGACTCTGGGTTGTAACAAGCCTCCTACGGATGAGCTCAACTTTTTCCGTCGTCTCCCTAACCAACTCCGGACCCAACAGAGGTGCATCACCCACCTCGGCCCAACACACTGGAGACCTACACGGTCGGCCATACAAGGCCTCAAACGGTGCCATACCGATGCTAGACTGAAAACTGTTGTTGTAGGCAAACTCCACCAAGGGCAAATGCCTCTCCTACGTCCCACTAAAGTCAAGGACACAACCTCGAAGCATATCCTCAAGGATTTGAGTAGTACACTCGGACTGCCCGTCAGTCTAAGGATGATAAGCCGTACTAAAGGTCAACTTAGTGCCCATGGCACTCTATAAACTCTGCCACAATCTAGCTGTAAAACGAGGATCTCTATCTGAGATGATCGTCACTGGGACCCCGTGCAATCTCACTATGTCCCGAATATACAAGTCGGCGAGATGGTCTACCAAATCTCTCACGCGCATAGAAATGAAATGCGCCGACTTAGTCAACTGGTCTACAACCACCCACATGGCATCACTACCCCGCTGAGTCCTCGGAAGACCTACAACGAAGTCCATAGTGACATGCTCCTACTTCCACTAGGCAATAGGCAAGGGTTGCAACAAACCCGCTGGCCTCTGATGCTCGGCCTTCACTTGCTGGCAAGTAAGGCACTTAGACACGAAAACAGCCACATCTCTCTTCATACCCTGCCACCAAAACTGGCGACCCATATTCCGATAATCTTAGTGCCTCCCGGATGCACCGCAAGGCGTGAATGATGGAACTCTCAGAGTACTTCCTCACGGCAAGACTCCGGCACAAACAAACGGTCTCGGTATCTCACACTCAGGTCGGGATACACCGTCAAACTCTTCTCAACCTTCCTATTTGAAATCTTCTCTCGGAGGGATTCTACCTCAAGGTCACCTCTCTGTACCTCTAATACTCGGGTCACAAGTGCAGGTTGCGCAACAACAGAAAACAAGGCCTCAGCCTCAGCTGATTCGCTCAGAAGCAAGTCAAACTCACCAAGTGTACCCAACATCTCCCATTTCTGGATGGTTACACAAGCTACATCACTAATGAATTTCCTACTAAGGGCATCAACCACAACATTGGCCTTTCCCGGGTGATAGTGTAGCTCAAAATCATAGTCCTCAATGAACCCCATCCACCTTCTCTGCCTCAAATTTAAGTCTCTCTGTGTAAACAGATGCTTCACACTCTTGTGGTCCGAGAACACCTCGAACCTCTCACCATAAAGGTAGTGCCTCCAAATCTTCAAGGCAAAGATCACTGCTGCTAACTCTAGGACGTGTGTAGGGTAATTATTCCCGTGTATTTTCAACTGACATGAGCCATAAGCTACCACTTTCCCCTCTTGCATCAACACACAACCCAAACCCTCTCGTGAGGCATCACAATAAACTGCATAACCCAACCCTCTCTCCGGAATAATCAAGACTGGAGCGGTGGTCAATCTAACCTTCAACTCTTGGAACGACTTTTCGCAAGTCTCACTCCACACAAACTTGACCCCTTTTCGCGTCAATCTAGTCAACGGCGAAGCTAGCCTGGAGAAATCTTTCACAAACCGACGGTAATACCCAGCTAATCCCAGAAAACTGCGGATCTCAAACACACTCTTAGGCTGTGCCCAATCTTGCACTGCCTCAACCTTGGATGTATCAACAGACACCCCTTCCCCGGATACCACGTAGCCTAAGAATTTGACTTCCCTCAGCCAGAACTCACACTTCCCAAACTTGGCATACAACCTATGGGCTCTAAGTAACTCAAGCACCACTCTCAAGTGTGCCTCGTGCTCCTCCTCAGATGGATCTGGCTCATACTTCCGAAGCATACTCACATGAAACACGTCATGCAATCCGGACAACTGCGGCGGTAAGGCTAACCGATAAGCAACCTCACCAATCCTCTCAAGGATCTCAAAAGGACCAATAAACCGAGGGGATAACTTCCCACTCTTCCCAAACCTCATCAAGCCTCGCCTAGGTGATATCCTCAGAAAGACATGATCACCTACCTCAAACGCCAAAGGCCTCCTCCTACGATCGGCATAACTCTTTTGTCGACTCTGGGCTGTAACAAGCCCTATCTCCTCCTCTACACATAACGTATACAAACACAAAGGGTCTATATACAATCTCACAATACATATAATTAATGTATTCAACCAACCGTCAAGTTCCATGACACATTCCATTGATTAGTTTCAGTTTGAAATCGGCGCTGTGCCGGGCACTAAATCAATAGAGAACTCTATCTCTCGGTGAGGTGGCAAACTAACGAGATCCTCGGGGAAAACATCCAAATACTCACAAACCACCCTCAGCAATACAATCTGGGTCTCATCACACTCACCACTCGAAAAACTAGCAAGTAGACCACTAAGCTTATTCCGCCCTCGCGGATCATACATCGGTAGCAACACACTACCAACCCGATCCCCCAAGAAATGGAAACACTCCCCGCTCATGGTAGAAACTGTGACCCTCGGGCGGTAGCAATCAATAACAACCCGGTATGACGATAGCCAGTCCATACCCAAAATAACATCAAAACCCTTCATGGGCATGACAACAAAAGGAAAAGGAAGCCTATGGTCGGCGACCTCTATATCACAACCTCTAACACCTTGTTTCAAGATCAACTCACCACCAATCAGCGATACTACACATATAGGAGATGCTAACTGTGCCAACTCCAATTCCAAAACAGATGCAAATGTAGCAAATACAAAAGAATGAGATGCACCCGTATCAATCAACAAACTAGCAACCGAGTTGCAAAACAGAAAGGTACCTCTCACTACTGATGGAGCCGGTACTAGGTCCTGCGCGGTAACAGCATACACGCGCCCTGTAGGCCCCTGATCCACCTGCTCACCTCTAGGAGCAAAAGACTACTGCACTGACTGGGATGACGAAGCTCCTGGATTGGCCCTCGAAGCCTGCACAGATTGAGCTGGTTGATAACTCTGCGTCTACCTAGAACTAGACGCTCCTGAAATGGCACTCAACTGTGGGCAATACCTCTTCAGGTGCTCAGGCTGACCACATTGATAGCAAGACAAAGGCTGGCCCCTACCCTGACTCTGGCCCTGAGGTCTAGCTGAAGATGAAGCAGCTCTCTGACCTCCTTCCCTCTGTGGGCAAACTGAAGCCTTGTGGCCCAACTGACCACACTTGTAACAGGTGAATTCCCCCTGATTACCTCTCCCCGAGCCTGCACTCGGCACCGGAAAGGTCGATCTAGCAACACCCCCTTGAGACTGCTCAGGGTTAGCAACCCTCTATCTCCTGCCATCACCCTGACCATCTTGGCTCCTCTTGGAGCCTCTCTGCCCTTCATCCTCTTCCTGCATCATAATCTCCATATGAGCGGCAGCATCAACCAAACGTCTGTACTCTCAGATAAAGAACCCTTCAACTCTCAACTTGAGTCCATGCCTCAACTTTCGCTCAAATTCAAAGCAACGGCGTTCCTTGGACGCCACAAGTTCAGGTGCAAACCTGGACAGACTAGTAAAAGTAGCCTCAAACTCGGCCACTGACAAGCCTTGCTGTTTAAGCTGGCAAAACTGCTCCCTCAGCTTCTCCCTAGCAGCTGAAGACAAAAACTTCTCCTGGAAAGCATTCACAAACGCCTCCCATACACCACCAGCACTGCCCTTCTCGTACTTCCACCATTGACCCGCATCTCCCTTCAGTTGAAAGGATGCCAAGGTCACCTTTAAAGCCCCGTTCTCGATGCCAAGCATCTCAAACGTCTTCTCCATCTGTTCCAACCACTCGTCAGCCTTAAGTGGCTCCTTCGGATCCCTAACAAACTCGTCCGAATTGGACCAGAAGAATTCCCTCTTCAAGAAGGAAGGCCCTGCCTCAACTACGTGGGCCTGTTCCTGATTCCCTGCTCTGAGAATACCCAAAGCTCCTGCTATCTCTCGGGCCAAGGCACTCATAGCCTGCTGACCCGCTGCGCTGGCTCGGCCACATTGGCCTGACCAACTCCCTCCTGCTGTGTCGGAATATCATCCAGTAAAGGCATCTACTGCCTACCACACCTGCCACGCCTACCACGTCCTTGTCCTGACATCCTTATAAAGGTATCCAAGACCGTTAGCACATTCACAAATGTGCCGAAGCTATAACACTCACGTCCTAATGCATGGACAACTGTAATTCACTCTACGTAAGCACATAATCACATAAGCAATTACGAATTTCATTTCTGGATAATGACAGTCCCGAGGCGTTACTAGAGTTCCGGTTAGAAACAACATTGATCAAGTGCTTTTCCAACAAGACTCCTAGAAGCCCAAGGATCCAATCAACATCCTAGAAACTACATTCCATACCCACATAGTCACATAAGCATGTTATCAATTAAACACATAGCATATGACACTACATCTAAGTCTCTATCAAGCGAGACAAACCCATTGTGATCCTAATCACTTCCCACGTACCCAAAGTATTCGAACCCGGTACGCTCTGATACCAAATTGTAACGCCCTCAAAATAATACATGAAACCCATCACTATAGACATGCATTGATATAAAAGAAACCAACAATTTATATTCATCAGAGTAATTCTTACAACTGTATTACATGTTTACAACAAAAGCAAATGCCCTAAGGGCTTACAGCTTTCCAAGTCAACACCTGGTTACACAAAAGAAGAGTACTAACTCTATACAAAATAAGCCCTAGGCTTGATTTACATGTAATACAAACAAAATAAACAAAATCAACAGTCTTCCACTCTCATCATCATCCAAGCTATGTCCTTGGAGGTGGCATACTGCATGTACCTGAAAATAATGTCCCATAAAGGGTGAGTCAACGCCCAGTAGAGATATGCTAAACACGGTATGAGCAATAACTAAGACATTAGCAATTGATAAATGTTCAATTTCCATAAATCAATTCTTAACCCATTTCCATTACATGACCACTATGTTCATGTTTCATTTCAGTTTCCATTTCTTATCAATTTCACAATTTACATCAACGGCTCAAAACCTGGCCAACCATTTATATGAGACAGTGACTCATATGAAACGTTTCCCATTTTACAATAGATAAACATACTAGTTGTATCAACATCTCAATAGATAAGCATACAAGCTGTATCCACATTTCAACAAATATGCATTTTAGCTATATCAACACTTCCAAAGATAAGCATATGAGCTGTATCAACACTTCCATAGATAAGCATATGAGTTGTATCAACTCATTAACTGACAAGCATATGAGCTGTATCAGTGGAGTCCATCCCCTATCTCCTCCCAAACAACATCCGGTTTAGAGGTCCATCCCCTATCTTCTCCTAAACCGTGTAGTAACAGAAGGGTTTGGAGTGTCTGGTCGATTTGTTGCCATCAGAACTTTGATGTTAATGATTCAGTTGATTTGAATGATGCTTTAAAATTATAGGTTTATTATGGATTGAATGAATTATGTTCTAAGTTCGGTATTTGCCGTGATTTTTTCATCTAATTTGTGGTATGTGCTGACAGGTGGATGTGATTGGCATTGATGAAGCTCAATTCTTTGATGACCTTTATGATTTCTGCTGCAAGGCTGCTGATTGTGATGGGAAAATTGTTATAGTTGCTGGCCTGGATGGGGATTACTTGAGGTAACCTTACATCTGTTGCAGAGTTCATTGCCTGCTACTCAATTTTGATGCTGCATTATTTTTTGTTTTTTTTTTCCATGTTAATATATATATATATTTTTTTAATGTGAAATCAAAATGTTTATTGAAGAAGGACCTTTGGCTCAGTTGTTGACATAATACCCCTTGCGGATTCCATAACCAAACTGACAGCTCGGTGCGAGCTTTGTGGCAAGCGGGTTTTTTTTACCTTAAGGAAGACTAATGAGACAAAGACTGAGCTAATTGGTGGTTCTGATGTCTATATGCCTGTCTGCCGCCAGCACTATGTCAATGGGCAGGTTGTCATCGAATCAGCACGGGATACTCTGGAATCTTGTAGTAAAGCACAAACGGACTCTTATCAGGAGGAAGTTGCAGTTGCTTAGAAACATATCTAGCTTATTCACAGCCTAATAGTTTTTTGGGCTATTTGTATTTTAGTCAAGGTGTTTGCATAACATCTTGAATTTGGAATTTGCAATGTTTCTATGGTACCTTCTCATATGTATATATAGAAAGTTTATTTTATATTGTATCAATATTTAGCACTTGAGTACTTCTAGTTTGTGTTTTAAAGATGGCAAAGAAGATGGTGATGCAGGCATGCAGCTGATCTGTGATGAATGTGAATAGAAATGTTATTAATAGATAATTGTGCATTGTTTTCTATCAAATATTTCAAAGATTACAGGGATGTGATGAATCATTGTGTCATTCACATCATGGATGATGCTTTAAAATTATACGTTTATTATGGATTGAATGAATTATTAGGAATTACAGGTGTATTGTTTTTTTGCTTTTGGCGACCAATTTATTAGTCGGGACAAAAAAATAATTTTTTTTTGCAAAA